ATTTACAACTAAATCCCAAAGAGGTCATCTTTGGTCATCAAAGATGGTTTTCTGTTAATTTGGCATCAATCAAAAGTTGCATGAGTCATCTGCAAAGAAGGATTCTCTAGAGAATCAAGAAAATTATGGACAACCCGAGCATTCTCTTCACAAGACTGTCTGACAGTGGAAGAGTGTCTTCAGTCAGAGGCTTCTTCAGTTTCACTTCAACACTGACTGCTACTGGAGATCCTTCCTGCCAACAGCCATTGTAATATGCAATAACTCTTTGATGATGTGATTATTATTATTATTCTGAGCTACTACAGCAATCAATTTCCCTCTGGGAAGTATTTTTGAATTGAATTGATTTGAATTGAATCTAGAGCCAGAAGGCTGTAAGCGGGCGGAGTTAAAGTGATTTGAACAAGTGAGCACATATATGTGTTGATTGCAGTTGTGTGATGACTCCCACCATGTTTGACATAGTTTGGAGCTTTTTTGCAGAAGTTACAAAGGTTTATTGTATTTAGGGGGCACTGTCCCAAATTTAGGAAATATTCCATGAAGAAGTTTGTCGGTTGACAACAATCATTTGTGTGCAGTTTGATGTAAAATGCATCATGCATGTGTTATTCAGGGCCTAATACCTGTCAGGGGGCGGAGCCAAAGCAACATCAACCAATGACCACAGGATTGTGTTGGGTGCCTTTGTGTGATGACATATAGCAAGTTTGGTGCTCGTCTGTACGAGTTATTACAGTTTTAAAGGTATGTAGGGGGCGCTGTGGTGATATTATACAAAGTTCACCAACCGTCTGTGCCTCATTGGCTAAAGGGCATGATTGTTGATTGCCATGTTCAGTCTCGTGCAGATTGGAGGCTGTTTGCAGAAGTTACAGTCAAACGTAGGGTAATGGTGCCATGCCAGAATTCGCCATGGCATCAAAGCCCCTCTCTTTCTGGAAAGCTATCAGAACTGAATGGTCATTACACCATCATGGTCAGTGCATGACCTTAGTGTCATGTTGACTAAATTAGAGGGGACAAATATGGGCATTTAACCATAAAATAATCAACTTCCTATTGTCATGGGGGCAGGGCTTAGGTGATGTCAGCTGTCCACATTGCCACTGTCTTGAGATGTGGTCAGTGATCACACAGACAAAGTTTGATATGGATCTGATCATGCACATGGGAGTTATTACATCAAGTAATGTAATGGCGAAAGGTCAAAGTTTGAGGCTTAGCCACACCCACAACTTTCAACTTTTGAAAAATCCGACAATTGAATTTTTTTTCCTATGTCTTAAGAGTATATAGCACAAGTGTGAAGGCGATTGGTGAAAAGGGCGATGGGGCATCACTCTCCAAACTACGTGTGCGAAAACCACTAAACTGAGTACTTGGACCAAAATGGCCGACCTCCTGTGCGAAATTTGCGCTGGCTCCAAAAGACTTTCTTGTATTTCCTGACACACTACATTAGTGTACCAAATTTCTTAATCCTCAGTCAAAGCATGGCTTGGGGCTGACAGTTTTAATGGCCCTAGGGGGCACTATTTCTGAAAATAGGCCACACCCACAAACCTATCACGTCTATTTCTTTTGGTGGTCCGAATAGGATCACTCACTAGAGAATTCGTAGCGATATCACGATAACTGAGGAACTGAGAGGCAAACATATTTCCATGGAGTGATGGCAAATTTCGCCATGCTCCCAAAGCCCCGCCTTTTTTCGAAACCTGCCAGTACTGGAGATCAAGTGACATCAACTTGTTTACTACTATTTGCCAGAGATTGCTGGTGATTGGTTGAAAGGAGTCCAATAGGGAGCTATGAAAAAAAGAGTGGCATGGCGACAGGTCAAAGTTTGACGCTTAGCCACGCCCATACCTTTCAACTTTTGAAAAATCCAACAGTTCAATTTTTTCCCCTAAGTCTTAAGAGTCTATAGCAGAAGTTTGAAGGCGATTGGTGAAAAGGGCGATGGGGCATCACTTTCCAAACGACGTGTGTGAAAACCACAAAATCAAGTACTTGGACCAAAATGGCTGACTTCCTGTGTGACATTGACCTTGGCTCCATGAGACTTTTTTGTAGGTCCCAAGGTACTACATTAGTGTACCAAATTTCGTAGTTCCCAATTAAAGCAAGGCTTGGGGCTGACAGTTTTAGTGGTTCTAGGGGGCACTATTTCAGAAAATAGGCCACGCCCACCAACCTATCACATTCATTTCTATTGGGGATCAGACTAGGATCACTCACCAGGGATTTCGTGGTGATATGATAACTGAGGAAATGAGAGGCAAACATATTTACATGGCGTGATGGCGAATTTTGCCACGCTCCCAAAGCCCCGCCTTTTTTTCAAACCTGCCAATACTGGACACCAAGTTACCTCAACTTGTCTACTGCTATTTGCCAGAGATTGCTGTAACTGGGTGAAAGCAGTCCAATAGGGAGTTGTGAAAAAAAGAGTGGTGTGGCAACAGGTCAAAGTTTGATGCTTAGCCACGCCCACTCCTTTCAACTTTTGAAAAATCCAATGGCTGAATCTTTCCCCTATAGCTTAAGAGTATATAGCAGAAGTTTGAAGGTGATTGGTGAAAAGGGCGACGGGGCATCATTCTCCAAACAACGTGTGCAAAAACCACAAAATCGAGTACTTGGACAAAAATGGCCGACCTACTGTGCGACGTAGCGCTTGGCTCCAAGAGACTTTTTTGTAGGTCCTGAGACACTACATTAGTGTACCAAATTTCGTAATCCATCAAAGCATGGCTTAGGAAGAACAATTTTAATGGTCCTAGGGGGCGCTATTTAAGAAAATAGGCCAAGCCCACCGGATTTTCACATCAGATTTTTTGGGGGCCGGACTAGGATCACTCACCAGAAGTTTTGTGGCGATATCTTAAGAAATGACGAAATGGGAGGCAAACGTATGGCGACGACGGTACACCTGACCTGGCCGTGCCGCCACAGACCCGCTCTCTTTTGAAAACTCCTATAAAGTGACGCCAAGAAACACCCACTTGTCCTGAGTTACCAGCTACAAATTTGTGGTGATTAGGTGAAATGGGGCAATTTGGGACCTATCACAGTAAAACTTGACCTTTTTGGTCCTGAGTGGGTGGGGCTTGTGTGATGTCATCATCCGACCATTCAATTTAGTTTGTGGCTGGATGTCGAATGACCACAGAAATTTTTGTAGCTATTCGAGTAGTAAGTTATAGCCATTTATATTTTTTGGGCGAGTAGTCGAACTTCGAGGCCTGGCCACGCCCCCTCAGCATATACGAAACGTCCGTTTTATTTTTTCTATTTGATCGCCCATCCCTTCTGAGCAATTTCCCACAACTTTCGAGACGATCGTGCAAAAAATGATCGAGTAAATCAATCAGAAGCAGAAGAAACAGCCAAAACGGGGTCAAAATCACCACTTCAAATCAAAATGGTCGACTTCTTATTTGATGTTGACCATGGTTGCAAAAGGATTTTCTGTGCGGACTGTTGAGTACTACAAGTGTACAAAATTTCATAACTGTACAACAAACTAAGGTTTATGGAGGGGGGTATTTTTCACATTCTAGGGGGCGCTGTGGAGCTAGTTTTATTGTGATTTTTTGGGACCTTTAAAATACAAAATTTTACACCACGCCTGACATATGTGCAAAAATTCCTGAGTTTTCGGGTATGTTAAGGCCTCCAAAAAGCCAATTTACTTGGCGGAAGAAAAATAAACAGATGAGATTAAATAGGCCTTCGCAGCGCTTTCGCTGCTCAGGCCTAAAAAGAAACAATTCTTTATATGGCGCCTCTCAAAATAAAATTCATGAGGCGCTTCACAAGAACAAAATTTAAAAAAAGACAAAAATTTGGACAAATTGGGGACCTCAGGGACCTGCTGGGGATGTAGGAACTGAGAAGTTCACCAATGTATGATGACGCTTGTCCATGTAAGGCCCTAAAGACCAGAACCAGGCAGCCAGTGAAGCTGAAGGAGGAGCAGGGTGATGACTGAAGTAAGATTGACATCCTGTGGTCAATTTTGGCTATTGCAGCCCATTTTATAAACTACTGAGTAACGTCATCACTCCTGTTACATGTGTTTTTGTTGTAAGAAGATTCTAGATGACGAGTCATACATAGTAAGTTCACTTTTGACTAAGTAAGTTGACTGTTTACTTCAAATCCACGGTTAGCTTTGTTAGCTTAACATTAGCCTCTAGCTTTCTTTGCCTGATATTAGAGCAAAACAAAAAGATGCTGTGGCTTTTTAGGGGTACAAAAAATAACTTCTAGGTTGCTCCTGTTTGCTGGCTTAAGGTCTTTATAAAAAATTCATGCGTTTCAGTTTCACTGGACAAAGTTGAATTACAAAGCTGCCGTGTTTGCCAGTGCAGATTTGGCTACCCCGCGGGCTCTCAGATAGTGAACAAAGACTATGTCCCTCTTTGGCCATTTTGAAAGGAGGAAAACTAAAAAAAACAGCCATCTCAGAAGGAAATCTGTTTCAATGTAAGCTTCATTTTCAACATGACTTAGACATTTGACTGATTATTAACTGTAAAATACTTACATATTGTACCTTTAACATTTTTTCCTCAACATTTTATACTTTTCTCTTGATATTTTCTATCTCTTTGTTTTCCTTCCTGGTGCCCTTAAAATTCTCCTGAAATGTGGGCATCCTTCATACAGTGAAACCAGTAACAACATCCTCTTTAATGATGTAGTTCACACTAACCCTTCTTTCTTTGCCAACTAAAGGCACGTGTTTTCAGTCACATATATCTTCTGCTTCAGGTAAAAACAAGACACTAAACTAACACAGCAATCCAAAGCAATTTTGAAATTATATGATGCAGTGATGTAACTAATTATTTCTAATTATATCCACCTTTTTGCCTTTAGATTTTGCACACATTCCTGCAGCTGTACTTTCTACCTGCACTATACAGATGTGAGTCTACAAGCTTTAGTGTGTTCCTCTTCAGCAAAAGTCGGGGTGGCCTTACCCTCAGTGGATGATCCGGACAGATCGATGACTACGTACACCTTCCCCTCTGGCTCCAGGTCAATCTACGCCAAAAGAAAAAAATAAAAATGAATTCAGAGATAAATTACACAGCTGAATGGTGAGTGCAGCAGGGGGGCTGTGCTGTGGCACAAACAAGCAAGAGGTCATTATCTTCACTAGAATTACAATTCTCACCAGCACTTGTATCATTATCACCATTAGCATCACTGTCTTTATAGCTGTTATTCTAACATCATTATAGCCCACATTTACTCCTGCTTTTGAAAGCTGTTTCTGATATGCTGAGTTTAAAAGCTTTCCCATTATCTTGATTTATCCTTTTGATAAAATATATCTCAAGAAATAGTTTCAGTTCAAATGGAGACAACATTGACTTCATTTGATTCAGATTTGGTTCAGTTTTACTTCAGAAGTCTGCTTGTCTTTAAAAGAGTTAGACATTTTATAAACTGATTAGGAACGCTCACAGCATCACGGAAATCATGTGAACCCTTCAAACGTTATTTCATTGTTCTTTAAGACATTTTAAATTTGCTTTTGTTCTGGGCCTACTGTGGTCGTGCCAAGGGTGGGCTGATAACATAATGCTGCTGTCATCATGTTTGTGTAGGTGGCGTCAAAGTAGCATCCTCGTGAATATCAGGATGCAGCTTTTGAGAGCACCAACTGAAGATTAGCAGCATTAAGACGTTGAGTGGTGAATTGGGTGTAGAGTTTCAGGTGAAAATATCACAATTTCTTTTGTTTGTATTGTGTTATTTTTCACGAAGAAAGTGCCTTATTGCGTGGTGTCTTATTAAAACGTCACATAATAGTTTATATGATGCATCAAAGCTGGAATTTTCCTAACAGTATAATCAGTGTTGTGGGTGCATGATGAAGTGGAACTGCAAGAAAATGACCCGAACAATGAATACGTCTCATTAGAACAAAGAGGACATGAGCTAGGGCGTGCTTCACTTTCAGCTAACTACTACACATAAAAACACATCAGCAGAGGAGAGACGAGGGTTTACTAAAGACTGTGGCTGGATGTGCAGAATGACATGTTCTGCTGTAAAAAATAAAAAACTATGAAGCAACACTTGTTTAGTTGAAGCATTAACACAAAATATTATCTGTCATCTTAAACCAGTTAATTTTGTGTTAGAGCAGCTGGATTTCTTTCTAGCTGAACATCCAGAGCAGCATGGAGACCATGCAGTTGTCCCCAACATCGTCAACAATGAGTAGGGATGTACAATGCCATCAAAATCATCATTTTTTAACATATCGTACTGCTCTGATAAACAAGAAAGGGCTGTTATAAGCAGCCATTGTTTTCTTTCAGCTGCCATTTGTGTATGTGTTTCAGGAGAAGGGGGTAGTCATGTGGTAATTCTTTGATCATGTGACAGTTAAGGATTTTGTTATGGTAAACGCATAAAATTTTCCCCATCCAACCAGCAAACGTAATGAGATAAATGTGGTTGAGCGACTCAAAAATGAAGCAGTGTCAACTAAGAGCTGCAGTGTATGGTCTCCCTTCAATTAAAACTTAAAGGAGACATAACATGAAAAACCCACTTTTTTATCCGTTAACACAGTGTGTTTCACATTTTAAGTGTCTAAGTGAGCAAAAAGGCTTATATTATTCACTGGAGTTGCTATTTAGATATTTAATAATTAAGTTTTGGGCATATTTGTCCACCCGTTCAGTTTTTCAAATTATCTATTAAATCAGTAATTTATTTCGTCAGGATAACTACCAAATGTGGTAATGGCCCTCGGCTAAACACAGAGCCAATCCGCCATTTTTTCATCTCGCTAAGATTTTTTGTAGTCCTATTGGAAAAATGCAGAATGTCTGGTTATTTTAGCCACACACAGCTCAAAACTGTTCCTCGTTTTAAGGAAGGGTGGTGTGGCAGTATTTAAACCCAGGAGCTGATGACACTACTGCAAAAAAAAAAAACAGAAGAAAAAGTAGTGTGTGTGTGTGTGTGTGTTTGTGTGTGTGTGTGTGTGTGTGTGTGTGTGTGTGTGCGTGCGCGCGCGCGTGGTTCGTTCGTGTCTCCTGGCTAGTAAGTACCGAGGGCTTCATCTATCTAAAAGGAGTCATTTCCATCTGAATGTGGCAGCACCGGGACACAGCAGCAGAGCGGTAAGCTTCATATAACTCTAAAATGTCGACAAACTTTACTTTAGGTTTACGGGCATTAGAAGCACTAAAGCGTTAGCATCCGGCTTGCTATCGCTAGCACAGTATGCTAGTAAAGTTAGCACCCAGATTAATGTGGATTTGGCAGATTTTTGTGGAATAAAACGTGATTTCTGATCAACGCCTTCTTTTACACCAGATGATAACCTCCCACTGATTGTAACAGCAGAGAGCCTGTGTGTTATTTTACGTGAGTGTGATGTAATCTTAGCATCCAGTAAATAAAGTCCCATATCAGCTAAAATGCAGCGTGACAAAGTCATTAAAGTGCGTCAACACAGTGGATTTAATAGTTTTAAAGAACAATCTCTGAGTGAAGTGAGGTTAGTTTTTTGTCTCACTGCAGATATAAAAACGAACTCTGCATCAGTCAGACGCAGCAAAGCTCACCGTCTGTATGAGCGTGAGCATCGGAAAGCTGATCAAATCAGCTGTAAAATAATTAAAACAAAGTAAAAATGTTCCTTTGCTTTTTAGAGTCCACATCCAGAAGGCTGGAGCCGTGTTTCACTGACAGGCTGTCAGACTAACGCCCTGATGAGCTCAGCTGGGACAAACTGGTCTGATGTTTAGGTAAGTGAAGATCTGCTTCTCCAAGGCCTTGAGATGCTAGTAAAAATAATTTAGCCAGCTTGCTAATGTTACTTTTCTTCTCCTCTAAGGAACACAGAACGCTCAGATGTTGGAGCTCACGTGACCTACTGAGGAAGGAGACCCACCAGTAAAGAGAAGGTCTGGACCAGACCAAAGTGAGTGATGACACACCTCAGCCACCCTCATCATTAAGAACACCTCACCCCCTGAATCACTCCGTCTGATGACAGCAGAGTGGTTTTTTTGATGTTTTACTTGTTTAGTCTGTTTAGAAATTATTGAATTACATTATTTTCTGTAATCGACCATCTGATCTGGACGTGTGCAGAATAACTTTCCCCAAGTTCAGCAGCAGCTGGCCTACAAAAACAGCTGCAGCATGTAGTAAGTCTGTCTGCACTGCTCTCTAATGAGCTTCCTTTCATAAGGAATTATTTGTATAATTTTAGTGTCACTATTTTATTACATTTGTAAGAATATGAAGTCACTGCAGCAAAGTGAACTTGTGAACAAACACAAACGTGACTATAAACATGAAAGCTAAAGAAACGACTTTCCTAAAGCTGCTTGTAAACAAAATATGTCATTAAAGTTATCGTCTATCATTGCAGAATATGGCGATGACATCATGGAACTGGTCTTTGGAAAAGTTTTCCCTGAACCAACTCCGTTTCTAGATGAGGTAGAGAAGATCTGCATCTCACCAACTCTCTGGTCTCAGTATTCAGACAACGGAGGTCTCCCACTGTTATCCAGGACCAGTTTGAAGCCCACATACTTCCCCTCCCTCATCATCAGGAAACATCAATCCGTATCCTGAGGACAACAGAAGACGGCAGGAGGACAGGAACTCTGAGACCTAGATACCACAGCACCGAGACACAAATTACCTGTGTGCACAACGCCTGTTTAACTACTAAAGCCTGTTTAACTACTAAAGCCTGTTTATTATATTGTTCTACTTATTTGCTGTGAGGTTAATACTTAGAAAATTTGTATTTTAATGTAAACAATAAAAAAATCACTGATTGTATGTTTTCTTTTAGATGTAATGGTCCAAACTCCGCCTTGTAGACATTTATTGCATCCTGTAGGTAAATACACAGAACAGGCTCAGATCCAGGATGACCCAGCATGCTCTTCTTCCATTCTGGCTGTTAGGGATTGTATCAATAACTCAATGCCTACTGATGTTTCCACCTAACGGTATTTATTTAGAATGCAGGTAAGATTTAACTATACTTGTTAGCAAAGCAGACTGATCTTGGGAGTTTCACTGCAGCACTGATGTCCACCTCTCTGTACATATTAGAGAGAATTACCACTTTACAGCTAAACACATTTAATAAAGATATGGGCTACGCATTGCAGACAATAAAAACAAAGTTCTAAGCATTAGAATTATAATGATCACATTAAAGAACATTTGGAGGAATGTTCTTTATTTTTGACTAGAATCTCAAATCTTTAAATTAAAATGTAACTGCTTTTTATCCATTTTCAGCCATTAAGACACCCAATATAAAATAAGACTACTTATAAAATTATTTATAATTATATGTATGTATATATATAGATAGAGATCTTAATAAAATATATTTTAATGGTGTTTTAATGAGCTGTATCATTTTTTAAAACATTTTTATAGAAATAAATAAGCAAGCAGCATTCCTTGTGTGTGTGCGCGTGCGCGAGCCTGCACGCTTGTCTCGTCGGCCGTGACGGATGTGTGTGTGTGTGTGCGCGCACGTGCCTGCTCACTTGTCCCTCCGTCGGCCGTGACGGGTGTGTGTGAGTGACTACAGACAAATGCATGAGAGAGTTAGCAGCCTTGGAACAGCTTGATGAACTACTCTCCCCACATGTTTTAAAAATGCTAATATGCTATGATAAATCTGCTATGCTAAATAATGATTTCTCTATAGAACTACAAAGTCCGGCTGGGGGAGGAGAGTACAGGTCTGCACTATGGAGGGGGGCGGAGTTTACAGCTCCTCCTCCAGTTTAAAGAGACAGTACCCAAAAACGGCTCGTTCTCAAGACTCTCCTCAGAACAGGGGTAGATGAGGGTCTGTAGAGCAACAATAATGAGGAAATCAGACCAAAGAACTGCAGTTCCACTGTTTTTAGACCCCCAACTGAAGGATTTAGATGTAAAAAGGAATAACTTAAAAGCATGTTATGTCTCCTTTAACAGGGGGCATCAATTAAAAAGTTGGTGGTAGAAAAATATCGTTTAGTGTCTTA